TCGGATCTTGGTGATTAGTTATTAATATTTCAACTAAATGGTAATATTCATTAGTAGTTTTCTAAATCCCATATTTATAATCTAAGATAATAATCCCATTATCTCGTTTATAAAACCTTATTAATAATCTTAATGAGGAGGTAGTTGAATAGAATAATTAATTATAGAAAATTTTAAATATTAACAATATCCACAATAGAAATCCTGATAAACATCTAATGTAAAGCTCCACCCATCTTAAATTGTTATTAATTTATTATGAAATGAATACTCATGCAATTTCCAATTTAAACAATTTATTGGATGAATATATATACACCCAATACATCCATACTAGCATGAGATAATACTTATTTTTAATCCTAATAATCCTCCTTAACCTAAGTCAAATCTCATCCAAAAATTTCTTCTATTATGTTAACGAATTATGGTAATTGTTTTAAAATATTCCATATTCTAACCACCAAAAACCTAGATTACTTGTGGTGGACTCTTTGAATCTTGGCTTTCAAGATTATTGTCTATAAAAAATTTTGGAACTATATAACCGTCAATGCTTATCTAATAAGATAAATATACCTAAGAATTTCTGCATCAATCCTATATTATTAATGAGATTCTAGATCCAAAAATACTCTGCTAATTTAATGGGTTTCAGCTTGCCCAAAATAAAATATATTTCCACATTTTAAGAAAGTAGACAAACCTTGTCAATCTAATGAATATAAATCATTTAAAAATTAGCATCTTTTACTTGAGTACTTGCATCAAACTAATAAATCAAATTTTGGTTAGATATATAGACTAAAGTAATGATTAAAATCATTAGAAAAATAATGAATTTTTTATTATTTCAATTTATAAATTAATTTTCTAATAAATTTATCTATTTAATTAAGTCAATATGTCAATAATAATTGAATAAAGTTTAAAAATATCATAAAATAATATATCCTGCTTAATTAAAATCTAAAATCCTATTTAAGTTTTATTTATTTTTCTATTTCAAAAGCATAAAATTATACATGTATTGATTATTTAAAGGAATTCAAAAATTCATTCTTTATTTTTGTTTCAAAAGTAAATATATCAGTAAATTTTTTGAATGTAGTCAGTTCAAAACAAATTTATAATTATATGGCTACAAACAAATAAATAATAATCTTATTAATTTTTATTAGAATTTCAAATAGAAAAGGTTAAATTAAATTTATTCAATTGATTAAATAATTATTATTATTAAACTTTTATTGTAACAATTAAA